AATGTAGCACCTCAGGAGTGTAATACAGTAGCGCTACCAGAAAATACAAGAAGTAATGGATTTCTGAGCCGTCGCCCTGCTGAACCCCGGTGCTTTGAATATCGACTTGGCTCCGTGGCAGGTTGGTTTATTATTGCCCACCACAATTTCCCTCAGGATCCCCTTTCCATTAACTGAGGGACAATCCAGGTCTGGCTGAGTGATGGGATTTGGGAACAGGTACAAAAGGAAAGAATTAGGCTGCTCTCCTGCAGAGAAAGCAGGGCTGGGAGCGCGCACATGCAGAACGGACACAAACAAGATGGGGAATGAGGATGTACGGCGAGACAAAGCGGCGGAGAAAGAACGTCAGCTGTGAAAGACGAGATTTAAATAACGTGGACGCGTTTGGATGGAGGTGCGGGAGGGCATGTGCTCCACATATCTCGTGCCCGCCGTGTCTGTGTCGATTCTGCTGCTTAGCATGACAGCTCTCTGGGAGCTGCTCAAAGAAGAAAGATCTGGATGGACCACCAGAGCCATGGAAATGTGTTGGGCAACCAGCCAGACGGGGGTCATACCCTCAATGGAGAGAGGACCTTCGTTGCAACTTATAGGTGAATACCAGCAAGAAATGCATTACAGCCTTTTGAGCAAGGCCTCCAGATGTTCCTTTCAGCTGAGAAGAGGGCCCTTTGTGACATTTGTATGTGTTTGTGTGTGTGTGTGTGTGTGCGCTTGCAGTTGTTTGTGTTTTCGACAGCCATCCGTCCTTCTCTTCCTTTGCTGCTACAGCGAGCGCTATCAAGTCCTATTGTTTCTATTCAATTAGCTGCCATTACCAACGGCAGTTTGATTACTGAGTTCATTTGGCTGGCGGGGAACAATGGAGGCAGCAAGCTGTCTTTTTCTTCACCAATACTGTCTAGCCCCAGAAGAGAATGAAACGGGGCTCGTCTGTGAGGGATGAGGCGCAAAACCGACGGCTCGCCTCGGTTCGTTTGGACGTCCCGGCGTCCACGGTGCCAGAGGACAAGAGGACAGAGGGCCAAAAGAGGAGGATGAAAAGGAACCGTGTATTCTTGAGCGATTAACAACCTGGGCGTGCTGCAGGGGAAGACAAATGGTGCGCTACATCGATTTCGCTATTACAATGAGCACTATTCAATCATGCTAAATCCACAGGGGCCTAAGAGCACCATTAGGAGGTCAGCGCCTCCGAATGGCACAGGCAACAACAATCTATAAATGATCTATTTAATGTACTGATATAAAAGAAAGGAGGGCATTTCACAAATTGACATCAGAGTGCTTTCCCAGAATTTCCCAACTGTGCCTCTGCCATTTTGTTAATTAGGTAGTTTGCTAATTTTCCAGTAATCACAGTGGTTTTTTTTTTTTTTCTTCCCCACTTTGTTCAGTTTAGACTGAAATCATTACAGTGCTGAAGCTCTCTTTGAGTACTCACCTCTCTTGTTCCAGTCTCATCTGCTGGGTCTCCTCTTCTGATGCCTGCATGTCCTCTGCTTTGGATTTAGTGGAGCTCCTCCTCTCCATCTTGTCATCCAGCCGCTC